GCAAAGATTTTCTGGGCGAATATTGAAGTAAAAGGACTCCACAAATCCACCGTGAATGCAAAATTTTTGGTGATTCCAAAAGGGCGTAGATCATTGCTAGGTCGCGAAACTGCTAGTGATTTAAAGTTGCTGCAAGTTGGACAAACAATCAACAGTTCGGAGCATGATGACAGAAATCATATTTTCCCGAAAATTCCCGGAATAAAAGTTAAATTCAGTATCGACAGGTCTGTCCCACCAGTACGCAATGCTTACTTCAATGTACCCGCTGCGTATAGGGAAGCAGCTAGGCTAAGACTTGAACATATGGAGGCTCAGGGGATAATAGAAAAAGTCAATACAGCCCCTGAATGGATTAGCGGTATGTCGGCCGTCCCGAAAGGACGGGATGACTTCCGATTAGTTGTTAACATGCGGGCACCAAATAAGGCCATTAAAAGGGAATATTTTCGACTGCCGCTGCTGAATGAAATAAAAAGCAAACTGCATGGAGCCAAGTACTTTTCCAAACTGGACCTCACAAGTGCCTACTATCACTTGGAGCTGAGTCAAGAGTCAAGAGAACTAACCACTTTTCTTGCGGAGAATGGGATGTATCGTTTCACGAGGCTGATGTTTGGAGTCAACTGCGCTCCAGAAATTTTCCAAAGAGAGATGACTCGGATACTGGAGGGAATCGACAACGTCATTGTGTATATCGATGACATCTTGATATTCGCTAACAGTTTGGAAATCCTTAGAAAAACAGTGGTTCGCGTACTTAAGGCGCTTAGAGCGAACAATCTCACATTGAATACAGCCAAGTGTCAGTTCGATCGAGAACGGATAAAGTTCTTGGGCCACGAGTTGGACAAGAATGGCTTCCATGTGGACGAAGCAAAAGTGGTCAACATCCGCAACTTCCGGGAACCATCCACCACATCAGAACTACGTAGTTTCCTGGGATTGGCGTCTTTTGTCAGTCCATTTATAAAGAATTTTTCTGATCTTACGAGTCCATTGTGGAAAGTGGCAACAGCTCACACGTGGCAATGGGGCCCAGATCAAACCGAGGCATTTGAGCTGACTAAAAACAAGATAGCGAGCTGCACTGTTGCATTGGGTTATTTTTCGGAGGATGATACAACCGTTCTTTACACTGACGCTTCTCCAATTGCGTTGGGAGCTGTGTTAACCCAAGAAGGAAGAGACGGATCACGCAGAATCATTAGTTTCGCCGCAAAAGCCCTAACTCCCACAGAGAAAAAGTATGCTCAGAACCAAAGAGAAGCGCTCGGTGCCGTGTGGGCGGTGGAGCACTTTTCTTTCTTTCTTCTTGGGAGACACTTTATACTGCGGACGGACGCTAGAGGCGTGAGCTTTATCCTCAACAGACTCAGAGAAGATTCCAAACGAGCGTTGACCAGGGCAGACGGGTGGGCGCTAAGGCTAAGCCCGTACAACTACAAAGTAGAGTTTTTTTTTCCGTGGGAGGGAAAATATCGCTGATCCATCATCCCGCCTCTACGGTGGAATTGATGAGCCGTTCAATGAGGATTCAAGCCCATGGGAAATTGCTGGTCTTGAAGCAAACAGCGTGGATTTCGTGACAGAAGAAGAAATTCGTGAGGCTACAAAGCAAGATCCAGCACTAACCGAAGTATTCCATGCCATAGAGTCTGGAGAATGGCCAGCTCAGCTTAACAGATTTTGCTCTGTGAAAGCTGAACTGTGCCTTATAAATGGAATCATTTTGAAAGGAGGTCGGGCAGTAATCCCCAAGTCGCTGCGAGAGAAAACACTGAGAGTAGCTCACGAAGGTCATCCATTGTCTGCAAAGCTGAAGACCATCTTACGGGAGCGCGTCTGGTGGCCTGGCATGCCGGGGGACGCTGAAAACTGGGTCAAGGCCTGCCAACATTGCGCAGTCAATGGTAGACCAGGAAAACCCACTCCAATGGAGCGTACGGTAGTTCCGAAGACTGCCTGGGAGACCATCGCTGTGGATTTCAACGGGCCTTATGCTAAGTTCGGAGGAATTCACATCCTCGTTATCGTCGATTATCGTTCTCGATACATCATTGCCCGTCCTATAAAATCAACCAGCTTCGAGCTAACGAAGCGAGTGCTAGACGAAATCTTCGATAGGGAAGGTTTTCCGCAAAGCGTAAAAAGCGATAACGGACCCCCGTTTAATGGGGAAGATTATAAACAATACTGTCATGAAAGAGGAATTAAAACTATTTTCTCAACGCCGTTTTTTCCACAACAAAACGGTTTGGGGGAAAATTACATGAAGATAATTAACAAATCAATGGCCATAGCGGCCTCTACCGGATCGAATTACAATGAAGAACTGCAAGCTGCTATTCGGGCGCACAACGCAGCTTCCCACACTGTAACGAAGGTTCCACCTGAGGAAATTATGCAAGGTAGAAGGATCAAGCGGCGATTGCCACTCTTCGATCGTGGTCTCCCGAATCACGACAACGACGTTCTTAACCAGAGGGATCGAGATATGAAACTTAAGTCCAAAGAACGTGAGGACATCCGACGCGGTGCTAGGAAATGCCAGTTGAAACTCGGAGATACGGTGATAGTTGAACAACAATCACGACCGAAAGGTGTTTCAAGATTCGGCACACAGCGGTATACGGTAATGGAAGAGAGAAACGGTAACCTGGTACTCAGCGACGATGATGGACATACTCTGAAGCGCCACGTTTCCCAGACGAAAAAGGTGTTTGAATGGCGTGCCCAACCAAGATCTGAAGCTACATCACCGCAAGAAGATCAATCGCTTCAACGAACTTCCAGGGATAGGAGAGCCCCAAGGTATTTGCAAGATTTTGTTCACACGGTGGATAACATGCAATACCGAAGTGATTAAAAGCGAAAGTTAAATGATCACACCTGAATTATACAATAAATATTTTGGAAAATCTACGCCTTCGTCTTGTTTTGTGTTTTATGCTTCAATATAATTTTACCCTTTCAATTTTATTTTATTTTTTAATCCTGTGAGAAGAGGAGAGATGTGGGGAATGAGAAACCTTGATATTGAATAACCCCTCGGTTTATCCCTATTGCTAAACACCATCAGCCACAGGGCTACCAACAGATAACGCCAACTATCTGGCATCACGTCTGCTCGGGCCTCGATCGGTTTCCCGATAGATTCGGGCCTCGATTGTGCAGCGAAGTCAAGCACTCGCTCTTTCACTAGTCGACTGTTGAACGGGTAAGTCCTGCTTGCGAGATCTTGGACGATTCTCTTGTTGCGCCAATAAATAGTTCCAACAAAAATATTCATTCAAGATCGAACCATTGAGTTATTCACAACGGTCCAAATGTTTTTCTGGCCGACGGTAAGGTTGAGAAGACCGCTGGATACGGTGAAGGTACAGTGATTGGTGTTAACGGAGAAGGTAATGCGATTGACGTGAAACTTGTTGACGTTTTGTATGTTCCGTCGTTGACAAGTGGTCTAATCTCCGTGGACAAGTTAACTGCGAATGGTTTTACTGCCGTTTTCATGGAGGACGGGTGTAAAATCCGAGACACTGCAGGTACTTTAGTCGCTTTACGGTCGTCTATTTGCTCGAGAAGAAGCCGGAAGCGCCGGAGAGGCAGGTAAAGGAGTATGTTCGGTACGTGACCAATTTGGTCAACCGAAAGCCGCGTATTATTTCCTCAGACGGTGGAGGCGAGTATGCGAACAAGGAGCTAAATAATTTCTTCACACATGAGGGAATTAAGGCACAGTACACCACAGCGTACACACCGCAGCAGAATGGTGTAGCTGAGCGGAAGAACCGGTCGCTACAAGAAATGGCGACGACGATGCTCCTTGATGCGGGTTTGGATAAGCGGTTCTGGGGTGAGGGCATACTATCGGCTGCTTATTTGCAGAACCGACTTCCGTCACGATCGGTTGACAAGACCCCGTATGAAAAGTGGTATGGAAGGCAACCGATACTTAGCCATTTGAAAGTATATGGTTGTCCTGCTTATGTCCACATTCCCGATGTCAAACGGGGAAAATTTGACAGTAAATCGAGGAAGCTGCGGTTTATTGGATACTCTGACGTTCACAAGGGTTACCGTTTTGTTGATACCTCGACTGACAGGATCACAATAAGCCGTGACGCCAAGTTTTTAGAAATGGACGACGGATCGTCACATAGAATGGATTCGCAAGCGACATGTGATGAAAATTTGTCTAGAAGTGTGATCGAGTGGCCTTTTCCTGAGGTGGTCCCGAAGCAGCAGGCAGCGGAAGAAGGAACTGCCGATAGTGGCGAAGAGGATGAAGAACCGGCGAGCGAAGACAGTGAGCGTGAAGATTATTTTGATGTGGACGATCCCGATCCAGATGAAGATCCCCTCGCGGTGAAGGAGGAGGAAAAAGAAGATGAAGTGAGGAAAGAATTAGAAAGTGCAAATCGACAAGGTCGTCGCACCCGCGGCGTGCTACCGAGCCGTTTGTCGGATTATGTGGTAGGTGTTGTGATACAGAAGGTGCAGGAACCAGCAACGTACAAGCAAGCAGCCAGTCCGGATCGATGTTCGTGGAAGGAAGCGATGGATAGCGAAATCCAGTCGCATAAGCAGAATGGGACGTGGGAGTTGGTGCCACTTCCGAAGGGCAAGAAAGTTGTAGGCAGTCGTTGGGTGTTCAAAGTGAAACAGAACGAATCAAATGAAGTCGTCCGCTACAAAGCAAGGATCGTCGCGCAGGGATTCACTCAGTGCTATGGCGTTGATTACGATGAAGTGTTCGCCCCTGTGACCAAACATGCTACACTCAGAGTCCTGTTGTCCCTGGCTGGAAAGAGAGGAATGGCGTTGAAGCACTTGTATGTCCGCACCGCGTATCTCTATGGAGAAATCGAAGAAGAAATCTATATGCGTCAACCACCTGGCTACGAGGTTCACGGAAAGTAGGAGATTGTTTGCCGACTTCGTAGAAACAGTCAGCTCGATGTTGGAACCGGAAGCTAACCGGTGTTCTGACACAAATGGGTTTTCAAGCAAGTTGCGCGGATCCGTGTCTGTTCATGGCAACCAGAAACGATAAGAAAATCTACCTTATCGTTTACGTGGATGATTTTCTGATCGGATGTGAAAGCGAGGATGAAATAACTCGTGTTCAGAAGCAGCTGAGTCAGCATTTCGAAATAGTTAATCTCGGCGATGTGAAACATTTCCTTGGACAGGAAGTTCCAAGGGAGAATGGCGTGTTCAGTGTGAGTTTGACCAACTACATTGAACAACTGGTTGTCAGGACAAGTCTTAGCGAAGCAAAGACAGCAAGAACGCCCATGGATCAGAGCTATCTGAAGGATGAGGTTGACAGCAAACCATTCGAAGATGGTACGAAGTACAGAAGCGTGCTAGGTGCACTACTATATGTTGCGGTGTGTGCACGCCCGGACATAGCGACAAGTGTCGGGATTCTTGGTCGGAAATTCAGCGCTCCCACGGAGGCTGATTGGACCGCTGCGAAGCGCGTGGTACGCTATTTGAAAGAAACGATGGACTGGAAACTGCAGCTTGGAGGCAAAAAGGCGGAAGATTTGGTGGCATTTTCGGATTCGGGCTGGGCAGGAGACAAAAGCACGAGGAAATCGACCACAGGATACGTTGTGTTCTACGGAGGAGGAGCAGTATGCTGGGTGAGTCGTCGGCAGTCTTGTGTGACGCTTTCGACGATGGAAGCTGAGTATGTCGCTCTGGCTGAAACGTGTCAGGAAGTTGTGTGGCTGAGACGACTACTCGAAGACTTTGGTGAAAAACAGGTGAAAGCAACAGTGATCAACGAAGACAATCAGCCCAACAAACAATTGAGAGCTCTTATAAAACACCTGAGTTGATCAAACGTTGAATAATAGCTTCCAGAGTTGAACAAGAATGTAGTTGTATTGCCATTTGATTAAAAGTTTTAAAAGCTGTTGAAGCACTCTTAAATGATTGTTTACGTTCGGTTTAACTATATGCTTTATAAGACCTACGATAACTTTTATAGCACCTTAGTTAAACTGATTCACAAGAGCTATACAGAACGTGGAATAAACGCATCAAAACAAACCATTGAGAGCTCTTATAAAACACCTGAGTTGATCAAACGTTGAATAATAGCTTCCAGAGTTGAACAATGTAGTTGTATTGCCTTTTTGGTTAGAAGCTTCAAAAGCTGCTTGGAGCACTCTTAAATGATTGTTTTCGTTCGGTTAAACTGTTTGACAGGAGCCATTTAGAACGTGGAATAAACGCATCAAAACAAACCATTGGGAGCTCTTATAAAACACCTGAGTTGATCAAACGTTGAATAATAGCTTCCAGAGTTGTACAAGAATGTAGTTGTATTGCCATTTGGTTAAAAGCTTCAAAAACTGCTTGGAGCACAATTAAATGATTGTTTACATACGGTTAAACTGTTTGACAGGAGCCATATAGGATGTGGAATAAACGCATCAAAACAAACCATTGGGAGCTCTTATAAAACACCTGAGTTGATCAAACGTTGAATAATAGCTTCCAGAGTTGAACAAGAATGTAGTTGTATTGCCTTTTTGGTTAAACGCTTCAAAAGCTGCTTGGAGCACTCTTAAATGATTGTTTACGTTCGACCAACCACCAACCACAATTTTGTTGCTAAAAATAGCACAAGTGATAGCCACGTTTATATGACCATAAGGCAATGATTATTCGACTGCAAGAGAAGTCACTCAAGATGAGCTTCATATACTTCTCTCATATGATCAAAATATGTATTCAAGAATAGAGCAGATGGAAACAGAAGCGGCTGGCAATCCGGGATCATGAGTTCGAATCTTGCTTCGAGAAACCCTCGGTGGAGTAGAGGTAAATTATATATAAAGGTGTTTATTAATAAATGCAAACATTATTTTAAGACATATATCATATAATCCAACGATAACATTTCTAGATAAATTCTCTCAACTAATTATTAGAGAGATTAATTGAAAGAATATCAATCAAAGATTAAAACCTAGTTACTACTTCCTCCATGATCACAGAATGTGAATTATGGCATAATTACATATTTTTTCAATGTGCTCAAATAAATTAAATTAATAAAAACTGTACAAGTTTTTGTTTTGGCGTACCACGACAATAATTGTTAAATTAATTTTAATCTGTGAATATTGTGAGTACTTACACAACGGTTATTAAGGAGTCATTAAAAAGTGCTATAAACGATTTTCACCGCTTGCTGTACAATGATTATTTAGGAGTCATAAAAGAGTGCAACAAACGCCTCTCAGGTTCACTCTCTACTAAATTTCAAAGCAGCTGTCAAGAAGTGTCTACAAACGTTGTATAAGAGCTTTCACCAAAATAATAAAGCTTGAGTTTAAATATGTATCTATAAGCGTTGTATAAAAGTTGCTTCTATCCGGTTGTTAAGGAGTCATTGAAAAGTGCTGTAAACGCTTTTCACCGCTTGCTGTACAATGATTATTTAGGAGTCATAAAAGAGTGCAACAAACGCCTCTCAGGTTCACTCTCTACTAAATTTCAAAGCAGCTGTCAAGAAGTGTCTACAAACGTTCTATACGAGCTTTCACCAAAATAATAAAGCTTGATTTTAAATATGTATCTATAAACGTTGTATAAAAGTTGCTTCTATCCGGTTGTTAAGGAGTCATTGAAAAGTGCTGTAAACGCTTTTCACCGCTTGCTGTACAATGATTATTTAAGAGTCATAAAAGAGTGCAACAAACGCCTCTCAGGTTCACTCTCTACTAAATTTCAAAGCAGCTGTCAAGAAGTGTCTACAAACGTTGTATAAGAGCTTTCACCAAAATAATAAAGCTTGATTTTAAATATGTATCTATAAACGTTGTATAAAAGTTGCTTCTATCCGGTTGTTAAGGAGTCATTGAAAAGTGCTATAAACGATTTTCACCGCTTGCTGTACAATGATTATTTAGGAGTCATAAAAGAGTGCAACAAACGCCTCTCAGGCTTACTCTCTACTAAATTTCAACGCAGCTGTCAAGAAGTGTCTACAAACGTTGTATAAGAGCTTTCACCAAAATAATAAAGCTTGAGTTTAAATATGTATCTATAAACGTTGTATAAAAGTTGCTTCTACTCCTATACCGCGTATACATATAATGCTGTAGTTGAACAGGTTCTCCAAACCAGTGTAAACAAGAGTTTTACAGCAGTTGTAATAAACAAATTGTACAGTTATTATTCAGCATGCAGTTGAATAAAATCACAATGGAAGCGTTTCTTCAACAAGAAATTGATTTTGGGCAAACGTTTTACTGAATACGTTAGACAACACCTTTGTGTTGCAGTTGTATAGGTTCTCCAAACGAGTGTAAACAAGGGTTTTATAAAAGTTGTGGTGAACACATTGTGCAATTATTATTCAACATGCAGCTGAACAAAATCAAAACGAAAGCGTTTCTTCAACTGGAAATTGTTACTTGGGAGGGCTGTTTGAGTTTCGCACGTTCGGAGAGATCAAGCAAGCGATCAAAGCATATTGAAACCAAGCACCATTTTGTCAAGGATCTGTACGACAGAGGTGAAGTGGTGCTACAGTACTGCCCTACAGACCAGTTGCCAGCAGATATCCTTACGAAGCCGTAAGGTTTTGTAAAGCATCGACAGTTTGTGGAACATTTTGGTTTGGTTAACGCAACCGAACATCAAGGTGAGGTCTAACCATTGAGGAGGAGTGAAGGTATTAACATTGTGTTACCCCTCACCATACCTAAACTTTTATGGCATTTATATGTGCATGACGGCCCTTCTGGCAACATTATATGTTTAATGTGTACATAACAACAACAATAGTAAAGTTTCGTCTGTTCTTCCGTGAAGTGCCGTGCGTATTTATTTTTGATCCTTCCGAAGCCAATACGTGTGTCCCCGCTTGCACCCCGTGAGAACTCTGTCCGCTTCGGTCCTCCCACAGGTTGTACTCATCCATGAGCTTCGATTTGACAACATCGAGCGAGATGTTATCATCCGACCGACTGTCCAGAGCCGTAACTAAACCGTCGTGCGCAGCTGGCAGACTCCGAAGCAGCATACAGATATGTCTGTGTCTTTTTCCAAAGTTTTACCTGCAGCATCGAACAAATCGTCAAAATCACGCAAATGATTTTCAACGTTACCGTTTTCCGCGAGGTAAACACTTCCCACTGGCAAACAGCTTCTTCGTTTCTCGCAGCCTATCAGGTTGTGTTCTCGCTAACACCAACACCTTTTCATCGTTTCGCAATACGATGCTTGCCCTGCAAATGCAGCAGCGGAAACACAAAAGGCACTATCCGGAACTTCCCGGCCGAATCTTTCAACTTTCTGATTTCTTCCTTTTTGGGGTCACCGTCTGGGCCCATAACCTGTCGGCGGAGTACAGGTCAATGCAGCGGAACACCATCAAAGGATTTCGGGTCGTTTGAGGAGAAAATTACACGCGAGAACTAATTATTACAACGGGACTTTATTATCGCGATAAAGAACACGTCACACGTGGTAGCGAACTTTTAACTAATGAGGTTCTCTCACCGACAAACCGGCATGAATGATCATACAAATTATAAAGAAAGTTCTGATCAAAGCACAAAACTGACATCTGCTACCGTGTTCGCGGAAAATATTTATCCTAGCCACGAACACACGTACAAAATGTATGAGTTGGTTCTTTCTTCTTCTTTCCTTTATTTAACGTCGGTCTCTGTTCCGCAATCTAGTGCCAATCACCGACGGACATCGATTGTCATCCATTGACGGCAATCGAATGTGCAGGAAGGCAGCTTCCACACCTGCGTAGGATATCGCACCCATTCAACACACATGGGCCGGGACCAACGGCTTTACTTCCCTTCCGAAGGAAGACGTGACCAGAAATTTTTATGCCTCAGAAAAATCCCACCGACCTCGGCTGGGATTGAACCCAGACCCATCGGGGTGTTAGAAAGTAGTCACGCTTACCACTACACCACCGGCGCCGGCATGAGTTGGTTCGTGTCTAATCTATTTCGGATAAATTACTTTTATCAACATAAAACATTTCTATGGTTTTGACAAATCTAGATAAACATTTCAAAAGGTCCTATCTGCATTGATCGATTCTCTTCATCGACTTTCTCATTCGTCAATAACTCAGTTGCAAAACCTTTCCCTGTTGTATTTGACGTTTTGGACGCTAGATAAGAACCCCCTTTATCAAACTATATGATAGAATTAGCGCAAAATCTGGTTAGGTTATGAAAAGGTTATGAAAAGAGAAAGTCGATGAAGAGAATCGATCAAAGCAGATAGGACCATTTGAAATGTTCATCGAGAAATGGGATCGCTGCACATTTGAATCGGTCGTTATGGATTCCCGATCAAAAGTTAAGTTTAAGTTTCATGTCGGTTTGTCGGTGGTTCTCTCTCTACCGTCGCGCATACGACAACAAAGTGTATGTGCACCTCGATGTGCACAGAAGGTGTACGCAGTAGGGCTGGGCAAAAGCACAAAGTATACTTACGAAGAGGAATTAATTTACCATGCCATTGATTTTTACGAGTAGCATGTAATTCTTAATGGATTCCTATTATGGAATGGTTACGTTTCTCGTTATCTCAGTGTATACTGCAGAAATAAACATACCAAGCCTTTATTGCAGTGTAAATCGACCTAACGTGAAACATTTCACAACGGCTAGGCGGGATTGAAATCAAAGCGTCTATTTGCTACCGCTCTATCTTTTTTCGTAGAGTCTCTATGCAAACGTCACAATGTGTTTATAGCTTGACTCGATTCGTGTTTGCCTCCTGCCGTGGCTTTAGATCGTCCGAATTTTGTTTCTAATAATTTCAGTAATTCCGGTAAAAAAGTGAATTGATTCGGTGAGCAGACCGTTCCCGAGATGGCTCAAAACAAAACGGATCTGATGGCCGTTTTGGCCGTACTGAAAAAGTACAATTTGAAGGTATAATTTGTGTGTTGAGGGTGCAGAGTAGTTTACATCTGTGGAATTTTTGTTTGGCTTTATCTTTCATAGGGAACGGAGGATTTGCTGAAAAAGGAAGCCAGTTTGTCGGACGTTCCGGAAAATGCGGCTGGCGAGGCGGACGTGAACAGTGTGCTGGCGGCATATAAGAGTGAGGGTGATCCGGATATTTACGAGAACTCGTATACGGAGTTGCGGAGGTTCGTGGAGGATTCGTTGGATATCTATCGGCATGAGCTGGCACTGATTCTGTATCCGGTGCTGGTTCATATGTACATTGAGTTGGTGTACAACAATCACGAGCAGCAGGCAAAGAAGGTAATTTCGAAGTTCGGTCCGGACCAAGAGTACTACTACCAGGATGAGATAACCAAGCTAGCGATGGTGACGAAACGGGATCAGATGAGCGGAAACGATCTGACGGATACGTTCAAGTCGAATGCTTTTACCATAAGGATTTCGAGAGATACGCTGTCTTTGTTGAAACGGCATCTTCACGAGAAGAAAGCATCCGTTATATTGAACATTGTAAATGAGCATCTGTTCTTTGACTTGTACGAAGGAGTTGCCCGGAACAAGGCCCAGTGCGATGCGACTTCCGGTGCGATGATCGGAGAAGCGAAGCGACTCGATAACAAAGTTAAGGTTTATTACGGTTTGCTGAAGGAACCGGATGTTCAAACGTTGGTACAAGCTCCTCCAGAGGAGGATGACGATATGGATCCGGATGCACCGGATAAGCCGAAAAAGAAGAAGCCCAAGAAGGATCCACTATTTTCTAAAAAGTCGAAATCGGATCCCAACGCACCACCGTTGGATAGAATTCCTTTGCCAAAGCTGAAAGATGTGGACAAGATGGAGAAAATTAAGGCACTAAGGGAAGCTTCCAAGCGGGTTAACCTGGGGCCGGATTGTTTGCCATCCGTTTGTATGTACACGCTGTTGAATGCAAATTACACTGTAACTTGGTGAGTATTGTTAGTGCTAAAATGAAATAGCTCACTTAGGTACTATTTGCTTTACTCCAACAGCGCGGAAATCTGCGAAGATTCCAGCTTGATTGCCATTGGCTTCTCTGATTCGTCCATCAAAGTATGGTCCCTGTCACCGATTAAACTGCGGGAGATGAAGGCAGCCGATCTGTTGAAGGAAATTGACCGGGATGCCGACGACGTGCTGATTCGTATGCTTGACGATCGCAAAGCCGAAACCAGCCGAATGCTGTACGGTCACAGTGGACCCGTTTATCGCACTGCCTTCTCGCCCGATAGAACCATGCTGCTGTCCTGCTCGGAGGATTGCACTATCCGTCTTTGGTCGCTACACACCTGGACTTGTGTGGTGGTGTACAAGGGCCATCAGTTCCCCGTGTGGGATGTTCGCTTCTCGCCATACGGTCATTATTTCCTCAGTTGCTCGCATGACAAAACCGCTCGGCTGTGGTCCACGGATTCCCATCAGCCTCTTCGAATCTTTGCGGGTCACCTTTCCGACGTTGATGTATGCATCTTCCACCCCAACTCAAACTATGTTGCAACCGGATCGAGCGATCGTACCGTTCGCCTGTGGGACATTAGCGTTGGAAATCATGTGAGACTGATGACGGGTCATAAGGTGAGGTTTAAAACGGATTTTTTGTGTCATCCTCAATTCCACAATATCTAACCCCATTATCCACAGGCTCCGATCCACTCGCTGGCATTCTCCATTTGCGGACGCTATTTGGCGTCCGGTTCGGCAGATTGTCGAGTCCTCGTGTGGGATCTGGCACATGGTCATCTAATTGCGGCCCTTTGTGGACATTCCGCTTCGGTCCATTCACTTTGCTTCAGCCGTGACGGAACGGTGTTGGCTACGGGTGGACTGGACTGTTGCCTCAAGTTGTGGGACTTTTCCAAACTGTGCGAGGACATCAGCGGGGAGAATGTCAACGTTTCGCACAATCCGGACGTCCGCGATGGGGAACCGTACCTGTTGAGATCCTTCCCCACCAAGCAGTCGCCGTTTCTGACGTTACACTTTACCCGGAGAAACTTGCTGCTGGGCGTCGGAATGTTCGAGGGATCGGCTTAAGGTAGATGCGGAGTTTATTTTTTAGGTCTAGTTTTTCGTATAAGCAAGATGTAGCCGTAAGATCGTCGATATATGTATATCAGTGTCGCAAATTTTTACAATCAATAGAATTTTATCAAATTGAAAACGGTTTCTTTTGTGTGAATGGAACGAAAAGAATTCCCTCGGTGAGGAAATGCAGGCTGGAGTAGGTCAGTGTGGGTTGTAGGAATTTGGTATTGGAGTCTGTAACTTTTACGCCGTAGGCCTTGATGTCACGAATAGGATAGATCCCGTATCTGCAGGAACTTACAGATTCTGTAACCTTCTCCAATATTATAAGGCTTAGAGACGGTCCCTCTCTATCAGGGACAGGGTTAGATTATAGTTGCTATATTTATAGTCTGGCGGATAGAATTTCTAGCTATCAAAAGCGGAACCAATTCAATATATTGTAGACCAACAATTGAAATGATACTATCTGCTTATATAAACAAAACATTGAGTTCTTTCCTCGCCAACCTAAAGTAGATTAACAGCAACTTTCCCCAAACCGATGATGATGTTGGTTTGCGTAGTCGAGCCTTGAGTCACGACAAAAGGGTTTGTTCACAAAAGCTGATGTGCTCTTTCCTGTTGTGGATCGTGATATGCTCGATTGGTTCCCGAGATTCCGTCCGATAGACTATAACTAAAGCGACTATTTAATAGATCAGATGGAGCAAGAATGCCACCCCAATAATTTTGAAAATAAACATATTTTCAATGCTAGCTCACCCATGAAACTATGAATGGGGTTCCTATGCAGCATTATAGAAAGTTCTGTCCAAAATTAAGCCTTAAAAAATTCCTAAAAAGAAACATTTGGTGCTGATTTGTTGAAAATCGAAATTATTTATGATAATTGGACATCACAAAACAAGGATTTTTGAAATTCCAAATATTTTTTCCTACGATTCCCGCATTGAGGCATCACTTATGTGATCATAAAATTTTTAGGCTAGAGGTAATCAAAGCTTCTACGCCGAAAACAAGGATATGCCAGCAGGATTGAGCGGAAAGAAATTCAGATTCCGAGCAGCGGTTTGTTTGAAGAAGTTTAAAAATCAAACGTCGTACGAAAACTGCGGGACGATCAACGTTGATGGTGATACAGTCGAAGAAGTCCTAATGAAGATTTGGGAGTTCTGTTCCCAATTCACTTATCGTGCCTTTGCTTTCTCAGAACCATCAGATTCACGAGTTGACGCTACGTGGTCCGAAATTTTTCCAAGTTACGACGAACGCGATACATTTATTATGTTTCAAAACAAATCCAGTAAAAAAAACATTGTTCCCTCGAAAGTGGACAGCAATACCTTGGTCAGTTGGCTGGCAAGGGAAATGTTTTTAATCGTCTATAAGTACTCGGATTCGGTTACAACTCTCGAGAGATGGCGTCAAGTTGAGAGCCAGCTTATTCGTCCTATGGAGACGGACCCTTCTGGTGCGGAATCTATTGCTTCCATAAATCAGCTGAAAGAGGAGCTCAAATACACACATGGAAAGCATCTTTCAGGTGATGACGTCAACTGGGGGTGCTGGGCAAGCTGGATATCGAGTAAACCATATGACCAACGGGATAATCTGAAACATCAAACGCCTCCAGAGCACCTCATCAACCTTTTTAGTAGTGGTGCACAGGTAGTGACTGTTCGAAGAAAAGTTCTGCTTACTCGGAACCCAATTCCATTCGCGTACATCGGACGTCGCCAGAATTTACGGAATTCATGAACATTTATTCCGAGAGTAAACGATGTTATAAATTCCTAAAAGGATTTCAGTATGTTAAATTTTGCATAAATTACCGGATATCAACTACGACATACTTTTGCTAATTCAACACCTCTTCAAACATAAATCCGATTGCGTCGTAGGCATCCCTAGCTTGCGCAGTTTCAGCTGCTGCATATTAAATGTTGATTAGCAAATGGGTGCTTATAATCTTCAAATTAATAAATTTTCCCTTACCTTTTAGTTCGGTAATATAGACTTAGATTTATAGATTGTAGTTTGTAGAATATTTTAGCAGTTTCTCCTAAATTTCTATTTATAGATGTAACCTATTATTTAAGAGCACTAGTCAGTAAGTTGATTCGGTATTTGTAAATTGTTCTTCTCACCTTAGGGAGCATCCATAAATGACGTAGCATATTTTTGATCAATTGTAGACCCCTCCTCCCCCCTCGTAGCGTATTTGGCTATATCCAATACATGGCCGGTCACAAATTCTGAAACCCCCACCTCCCCCCTCAAATGCTACGTCATTTATGCATGTTCCCTTATGTTGATTTCAGTATTAGCTGTAGGAAAACAACTATGTTTAAGCACTAGATAGGTTAGCTTGGGTTTAGAAACTAGATTTAAAGGAAACTTTTAGATATTAGGCATAGAATAATTTTCACTTTCACTTCCTTATTTTTTTTTTTTTTTTTTTTGTGTTGTCTTTCGACTGGCTAAGACCACGGTTGCTCCATCTCGCCACCTCTTTGGTTGTCTTGTTTTCTGGCTGTTGTTGTCTGGTTTATATTTGTATTTTCTCTTCTTGGATGAACTTGTAGATTTGTAGCATGCTTTCTTCACATTTCTCATCAAAGATTTCTTCCAGCGGTTTGATGTACTCTAGCACTTGGTATTTGCTTCTGCTTATGTTGTATCGCGGGCAGTAATACAGCACATGCCGTAAGTCTTCAGTTTCTTCACAAAGATCACAAAATTCGTCTTGTTCAATCTTCCATTTAGCTCTCCTATCTTTCGTCAGTGTGTGGCCGCTTCTGATTCTGCTTAACATTCTAATCTGCAACGCTGTTAGCCATAGATTATTCGACCATATTCTTTGGTATGGGGTTTCCGCTATCCTGAAGTGCCATCTTCCTTTCGACGTTGAAGTTCTTTTATACTGCTCTGTCCAATCGCTCCAGACTTCTTTCTTGCTCAAATTTATGGCATCTCCCATAGTGATGCCATTGAAATCTGATTGTTGATCTGTTGTTTTTCTAACCGCAGCTTGATCCACGATTTCGTTCCCGTCAATGCCTGCATGACTGGGAATCCACTGAATTTTGATCTACATCCTTCCTCGATTTTGGATTTCTTTGAAAATTTCCCATGCTATAAAATTTTCATTTACCGTTTTTTCATTCAGGAGAGTCTCGCAAGCGCTCCTAGAATCAGTCAATATTACTGTTTTGGCGTATTTTTTCCTTTTAGCCATTTCAACAGCCCGTAGGATGGCCATTAGCTCTGCATTTGTTATGGAGTAGCTCGTATTGATGCTGTCCGTGAAGGTTTCCTTATCTTGGTGGTCGTAGACTGCTATGGCAGTTCCAGACGATCTTTTGGATCCATCCGTGAATATCAGGCTATGTTTTTGATAGTTATTGCATATGGTCTCTTGGAAGAGTTGCCTCAAAATTGCGCTATGGCAGTTCTCTTTTTTGGGAAAATTTTTGCCAAACTTGGGTACTACCACATCTTTCAGGTCTGTTGTATGGAAAAACCTCATACGTTTGTGCAACGGGATCTCCTTATCCCGTGGATGGACTTGGTAGACAATATACACGTGTTTTTCTGCAATTTCGGTAAGGTAGGAGCCATTTGGTACTTCCCTTGACAATGAGCTGCTGATAAATTTGATTAATGGCGTAGCGTAGAAGGTTGTTCGAATTACTTCATTTTTCGTCAGCATCTCAATCCTTTGGTTCATCGGTAGCTGTCCTGAATCTGCTAGCATGACATGAACCGGCGTGCTCCGTAGGTATCCCATTGCTGCTCTAATGTACTTGTTTTGGACCTTTTGGATTTTATCCAAGTTAGTCTTTGCCGCATTCCCATAAACTATGGCTCCATACTCCAGCCGACTCCTTATGAGAGCATTTCCGATCCTCAGCAGTGTTTTGGGGTTTGCGTCAGATGTCTTTTTGGAAATTAGTTTCATCAGCCCTATCTTTTTGCTTGCGTTTTCTTTAATGTTATCTATGTGTTTCCTATGACACAACATTCTATCCAGTGTGTATCCTAGATACTTATGCGTGTTTACTACCTCGATTTTCGCATTTTTCACCTTTATTCTCAGATGTTCGGTATTTTTTTTTTTTTTTTTTGTGAAGGGGATAACTGCTGATTTTTCCGCGCTGACTTTTAGGTTTAGCGCATGCAGTTGGTCATAGAAACCATCAAGAAAACAGCATAGTTTGGATTCTGCTTCATCCAGATTTTCTCTCATAGCCACAACAGCGAAGTCGTCTGCAAATTGCACGAGCTCACAGTCATCTTCCGAATTACTATGTAATCCAGCAGTGTAAAGGTTGAATAGGATAGGAGAGAGTGGGCACCCCTGTGGTAATCCTTCGCTGACCTTCACTTCAACGTTTCCTTCATCGGTACGGAGTATTAGCTTCCGGTGTTTTAGATAGATATAGATCCATGATACAAGTTTTTGAGGAACCCCCATAGCAGATAAAGTACTCAACAGTTTGTTAGTATTAACCGAATCGTAGGCCATTTTAACATCTATAAAGGCTACCAGCACTACCTTCCCTAGTTCTTGCGCTTCTTTTACTGTGTTAACCACATAGTTTACACAAGTCATTGCGCAAACTTGTGCTCGAAAACCGAAGGATAGTTTGGGAATAAGCTGCCTAATTTCCGCAATCTCCGCCAACCGATTTTTAACCACCGCATTTATCAGTTTGATTTCCACGTTCATTAGTGCTATCGGCCTCCTGGAGTTAGGTAGACTTAGATCTGCTCCTTTTTTCGGTATTTGCTGAATTATTGTTGTTCTCCATCGTTCCGGAATCTCCTCCGACACGAACACCCTACTCAGCATCTCGCAGACCTTCAGTAGCATTCCCATATCAAGCTGTTTAAGGATGGCATATGAAATTCCATTTTCCCCGGGCGTGGAATTTCCGTTTCGACTTTTGAGGGCAGTCAAAATTTCTTCATCTTTTAGTGCCATTTCATATCCTTCCAAGTATGACTCTGTCGGCTTATACGGCATCCTCACTTCCCCTATTTTATCCTTGAAATAGTAATCCATAAACAGTACTCCATCCTGATGGTTGATCCCTTTCCTGCCTTTGGTTTCTTCAGAAAGTCCTGTATCAATCCCTTTTATGATGTTCCATAGTTGTCGTGAAGGGGTAGTTTCGTCGATCCTCTCCGCTAGCTCCTTAACATATTGCCTTTTGGCTCTTCGTACCTCCTTTTTGAATGCTGCTCTTTGCTATTGGAAATTGATGTAGTTGGTTTGCGTTTTGTTGATGTTGTATGTTCGTAGGACTACTCTTTTGCTTTCATACAATTTTTTAATTTCCTCGTTCCACCACTGTTTTAGATAGTTCGCTTTTTTGTTCTTGATGACAAACGACGCCTTTTCTTTTTGCTCCTCCAAAATTTCCACCATTTCCGAAGGCGAGTATATGAACTGCGGCCGTATGCTATTCAGATTTTCGATCAATTTTCTTTGTTAATACGCCTGGTGGATCTTTTGACAACTGGGATTTGTCCTCCGATTTCCAGCAGCATAGTCCGGTGTCCGCTACCGAATTCCTCATCTACTGTTTTCCATGTCACCTTTGCACCAATTCCTGGCGTAGCCAGCGTTATATCAATTGCAGATTCCTTCTCTCGCGGAGTATGTATCATCGTGGGTGATCCATCGTTGAGCAGAACATACTTAGAATCCTCGATGTTCTCGTTCAACATTCTTCCTCGACTACATGTTGGGTATGCAGGGCCCCAGCTAACATGAAAAGGTCCTCTAGATCTTGCCTAACGCTCGATTCAGTTCCAGGTGCCAGGTATACTGAGATCAAGTTTATCGGGTCCATTCCTCCTTTTACCTTGATTCCTACTGCTTCTACGGATCCTACATTTGGTATATCTATTTCCTGGTACTCCAAATCTCTATGTGCCAAAATTCCTACGCCCCGTAGCCTTGGGGTCTTCTTTTTGAAACAAAGTTGAAGTTCCTCATTACGAAAGGCTCCTTATCTTTCAACCAAATCTCCTGTAATAAAGCTACTCTGACATCATTATCTACTAGATAGGTGTAAAGCTCTTCTCTGGTTTCTGTTGGTCTTATGCTCTGTATATTATGCTGGATAATTTTAAAGGCCTTAGTCCCCATTATTGTTTTCGTTTTGATTCTGATTCTGCGGTTGTTCTATGATGTCGTTGTCCTTATTGATGATTCTATCCAGTTCAGAGCAAATTTCTATTAGCAGTTGGTCCGTATCGATGTCCGTTCGGGGACGTCTCAGGCGGCTTATGATGTGGTTTCTCAGTGAGATTATTGCCAGCTTCCAGGATCCTCCCACACTCTGGAGCAGTATTCTACGCAACTGTTCGAAGAGTGCCTCGAATTCAGTCACCTTATGCTGATTTTCCACGATCCGTGTGTTTTGGCAACTACATTTTTGTTGATTCTTGTTTCCTTGCGATTCCGTCAGTGCTTGGCTGTACGTACGTCTCCCATTACGAATGACAACTTTCGATTTATTGTCCCGCCTTTTCGGAATTGCTCCTGTTCTCTTTCCTACACCTTCCTCTTCTGCTGAATCCATTCCTTCTAGCTCCGGGAAATCGTCCTCTTCAAGAATTTTGTATTGGTTTGTACTTTCAACCCGCTGCGCTGCTTCCACGAAGGGGATGTTCGATTTAACCATCACTCGTACAATTTCCTCTCTCTTTTTCTTGGCCGGGCCGTTGCGGTCACCTGCAACATGATCCATTTCGCAGTTCGAACACTTCGTTTGCCTGTCACACTCTCCCGCTTCGTGTGCCTCCCCACAATTTTGGCACTTGGGCCTACGCTGGCAATGTTTTGCTGTGTGCCCAAAACGCCAACACACGGACAGAAAATTGTTTGCATTGAACCAAACAAAACTTTAGTTGTATTTAAACAAACAATTCCGGTTGAAATTATATTGCATTTTATTGTTTCTATAAAACTTATTCAAATAAACTCAACATAAGATTCTTTTTGTTTTAATAAGCCACTTTTCAATTGCAACTATTGTAAAAATAACAATATTCTATTATTAAGCCAACAATAGTTAATTTTAATTTAGCATTTATTTGCTGTGTCCATTCCCCGGGCCATGAATACAAAAATAACTACCAACCATTCCCTCGTTTTCACCCGGACAAAAATGTAAACAATAACAAAAATTTTCTCATTTGATTAAGTATTGTTTTTAATTGTGAATTTCGGGAAATAAGTACGAGATTTCCGAAAATCTTAAGACTTGAGGTAAGCAAGTAAGCTGCAGTTCAAGGTGCAGTTGTTAAATATAATCAATTTTTAAGTTTTTTTTCCTTGATTTTTTTCCGTCGATCTTGTTTTCCGTACTGAGTACCAATGCTCCCGACGCCAGGAATGCACCTCCCACACCTGGACCCTACATATCGACCCATCAACTCATGAACCGGTGACCAACGGCTTTACTTCCCTTCCGAAGGAAGGCGTGATCAGTAATTTTATGCCTCAAAAATTCAATTGCAATTCTGTTTGTTGTCACAAAAAAAAAATCGACATTATTTTTGAATCAATAAACATATTGTTATTTCTACTGCGTGAATTGTCAGCCTTCATAAAATAAATTTGATTGAATCAACAAGAAATCTCTTTTAAAAACAAACATATTTTTCTTGTTGACCCAGCTGCCAAATTTGACAGCTTACGGCAAAACCATGTAAGCTCTTGTAAATTCGAAAAGATTTTCTTTTTGATTCAACAATCCATGGGTTTTAAGGGACAATAATGCTGGATTGTTGAAACAATAATGATTTCTTTTTGCAGCCAAAACAAAATGAAATTCTTATTGCATTTACGTCAAATATTATTACGTTTAAAATATTTTTTTCTGCGTGCATGTTAAACATTGCTTAACTGGGAAGATGAATAACTCTGCCCGAAAGTTGCAGCCATAGATTTTGATCATTTCCGGTACCCGGGAACCTTGTACCGTTATCTTCAGGTTTTTGGTGTTTACCAGCTCTTGGTTTCGACCCCTTCTCTTAACTCTTTCCACCTTCAATACCTCTGTGTCCGCTACTACGAAGTCCTTCAAATCGCTAGCGTCGAAATTCAACGGAACGTTGGTTTCAAAACATATCGTTTCCTTACTCCTGTTTGGCAGGAAGGACTTCAGGTTCTTATGCTCCAGATCCTACCTTGACAATTTTGGATAGTCCTCTCTGCTAGTCAGCTCAACCTTGTACTTGAATTTTCCGATCTTCGTTATCTCCTTGAAGCTTTTGAATCCTGCGTCGAATAAAATCCGACCGACCTCCGCTGGATGCTTTGTCACTTCTTTTTCAAAATCAATGGGCTCCAGATACGCTACATCCGATAACTCCACCGCCACTGCATTGGGTCTCTGTTGCGACGCTTTCCGTGTTCCGGGATTGCCACCCGAAGTACTCCCCTTTCTGACGATTTTGGTTGGTATTTGTGACCGTGTGATAGGTCCTCCTTGCCTGTTGCTTGATGTCTGACTCATGACTTAAATCTATTTTTTATTATTAAATACTTTTATTTTTTTTTTATTTTTCTCTCTTCACTTATGAACTAATATATATTTTTGATATTTTGCTGTTTCTCTATACTATTCCACTTTTTCCTCTTCTTTTCGCATGTGTACAAAACACTTTCTTCTCTTAGCCCCTGCTCTCGGTAAAACCAAAATGGCTTCCTAGTCACATCCACTCTTCTTGGAGACGAGATATTAATCGCAAGATTTCACACTCAAATTTCACGAATTTCTTGACTTTTCCACACCGAACGCGAGCCACGGACGATGCGCATCGATTTTGCGTATAATTATTCCCATAGGATGTAATTTTTCAGCCAATTTTCCCCGATTTCAAGTGCACAGTCTATCTCGAACTTTAAAATTATTCCCTCAAACCTTTCACTTTCTTATCTATCGAGCTACTTTTGTCTTCTATACCCGTTTGGCAAGTCATCAACGGATGACAGATCCAGGCCAGTGACAACCCGGGACGGGACTTGACAATCGAGCGTCCCAGGTGACAACCCGCATAAACGCGAACCATAAATTGACCTTACCTAAAATGGTTAAAAATTGTTTATAATCCCTGCTAAACTTTAACTGAAATGGTTATGGAACTTTACATGAACGTTTAATGATAAAGTTTCAACCTTATGTATTATTGTTTTTTGGAACTGGACCTTACAAATAATGGGTTGTTATGAACCATTACCATTCCAAATTCTTGTTTTCTCCATACATTTTCAGAAAGAGAACTATATAAGAACGTTTTTACTTATGATTTGAGAACATTAATGGTAATGGTTATGGTAGTCCTACCGGTACGGTATACCGTTTCCGCTTTCCAAGTAGAAGGTCGCGAGTTCAATCCCAGCCTCAACCCTTTTTTTATTTATGTTCTACTCCTAATTAATTTAAATCGTAATCATACATCGTATCACTCACGACAACCAATTCATAGATCTATCGAAAAGAATAGCATCCTTTCCATTGAAATTAGAGCGATGGAGAGGTAACGTTGGTCTAATGTTAAACAACTACGAATGAATTAATCATTCTCACATCTTCTTGAATTAGCTAGAGTTACGGCTGGAAGCGCTGATAGGTTTTCAGATTCAAGCTTTTATTGCTTATTTAGCTGCTCATATGATGTATCTAGGATAGCTCAGATGGCAAGGCAAGCGGCTGGTGATCGGAAGGTTATGGTTCGAATCCCATATAATGACATGTGTGTGTATGTATGTATATGTAATAAATTCGACAGAAATAATGACACAACAATCACTAACGAGAACAACCCTGCTCTGTGCCGTTCTTATTTTCGGATTAATTATCCCGTTGTTGAATAATCGTTTAATAAATGTATAATAGCGTCTAATTAAACATTATTTCACATGAGATTCAAGCGTCTATACACCTTTATACCATCGCTGTTTAAGGAAGTAAAGATGGTCTAATAAACGCTGAATAATCAAAAATTTGATCGAATAAGCTCTGTTTACAACTCTTGTAAGTCGAATAAAAGCTTCTCGACATACCTTATTCAACACCAAATATTTCGATGTTGTGGTTGAATAAATTCTCCAGATTTGTGTGAACAAAGCCTGAACAGAAGTTATTATTAAAAATAGTACAAGTATTATTAAACATGAAGTGGAATAAAATCGTCAAGAAGTCGTTTCTTCAATAGGCAATTGTTTGTTGGGACTGCCATGGCAGAGGCATACGCACTATTGACTTTTTATTTGTTATCGTCTATCATACAATACAATACTACACAGTACAGAACAAGACTATAGACACTGTATATACAAGCAACGACATCTGTGCAACCGGTCCGCACTCGTGTTTATTTCAGTTACCATGCGGACGTAATTTGTGATTAGTCCCGGTCCCTTTCAAATTGTATCATTATTTATGTACGGCCTTAAATTTGAAATGACGTTTCATATTCATTTATGGCGATAAGCTCCAACTCGGATTAACTTTTAATACCGTCCTTGTTTGTATGATCTGCAAAATGTTTGCTTAGAGTTATGTTAATTAATTCTGATGTCGACATCAAACCAGCCGGACATTCTTGATCGGGATTTAATCCGAGGATAATACCAGTTGGAGCTTACCACCATTAGTGATGGCCAATTTTCATTGGAATAATCGATTAATCGATTAACGAACCAAAAAGTAAAATATTTGTAATCAGTTATATCATGCTGATATAAGCATTAACTTCTCCAGAGGATCATCACCCATCGTTTCAAACATATACTGCACTCTCATTGGTGGAAAAATGACAGCACAGCGAACAAAACATAATCGATTAGATGTTAATCGAATAATTTAAAAAATGCGACATCTCTGATTTTGGTGTGATTGTTTTGATAAAAAAGAGCGCAAAATTTCATCTCTACCGAGGGGGCAGCAAAACCACAAAATTACCTTGAATACGGGGGGTATTCATTGGATGAAAGGGACCGTGAAAGAGAACACTAAAATAGAAAGTTTTTCGTCCGACAGTTTCATCTTAGCATTCATCTTTGATCTGTGTGTGGATGGGGGTGTAGCAATCCAACCGAAATCCAGCGAAACTAAACTTTTCACTTGAACAATTAGCTTGCTCATGTTTCCATTCACTGCTTAATGGTAGAACTAGCAGATTTTTTTTCGATGTGTTTACTAAGCCTTGGATTCAAAGCATTTCAAGTAGATGCCTGAGCAAACCGGTCTTGACCAGCCCCAGAGCTTTATTTGCCTAACCAATACGACTAGCAGAAACTCGTCAGATGTTTCAACACAGTTTTGACCCGTAAAGTGAGCCAGCCATCACAGCTGCGTCCGTCCTTTATGACGAAGGTTTAGAGCAGGGTCTAGCGCGACAGCATGTGTTTTTTTCTTCATTAGGCGTGCAGTATACGTACAAAAGGCGAGAATGTTAATTTTAAATCGAATGGATACTTTACAGCAGAGTCGAAGTCAATAAGAGTCCGGCAAAGAGTGTAGGCAAGAGCACCAATCGATCTGTCAAACGGGGTACCAAACGACCAAAGCAAATAAACAATGGCCCAGGTACTGCAAGTATTGCAAATATTATAGATAATATTCCAGACATTTTTTATGAAAACATCATTTAGTGCATTGAAATGTTATTGCAAACACTTGGTTGCAATTATGTCAAGTCCTAGTTGATTTATTTCCCAGAAGTTTCGGTACCTGCACCTCGAAATCAAAGTCATTTGATGCTAACGCAAAAAATGGCCGCTAAAACTGATGATAAATCAATCTCAAGCCATGCTGCTTGTTTGCATAATTTTCTCTTTGCGGGACTCTAATTAACAGGTGGATGGATACATCTTTAGTGTATAGGGTAGTTGCACATATGTTCGACGTGTGCCCAAACACATTGTTTGAGATGTATTTTATGCATACGGTAAAGAATAAGTCAATGATTTTAAAATAGTTCTCTTTCAATCATATGGGGCTTGTATATAGGTCATGTTTCGAATCCGAATTCTCTCATGTTTAGACCCAATCCCCGACTAGGATCAAATTGTCCCCCAGGTAGGTAGCCACATTTTGCGAAGAATCTTGTACAATCATAGTTCTTGAAATGGCACAGGGCTCCAGCGATGACTGCGGTAAGATCTTTCCGACTGTTTTCTACGTAGACCCGTTTCAAGTATTTTTTAGATAACCAAAAAAAATTTCATACGGTTGTAAAATGGAGCATAAGCAGGGAGAAAAACAACTGCTATCCCCAACGAACGTAGATATTCGACTATCGATTTATGGCAATGGATTCTTGCTCCATCCAAAATCCAAACCGAGTATTCTCCAGGGTTTCGCTGTACTAGACCAGCAGTAGCAAAAGAACGAACACAATTGAAGAATTTTTGTCTGGTAAAGGTTTCAAGTACTCCATTGTATCCTACAAAACTAAGCATGGAACAGCGAGGCCGTAGAACAAACTCTCCTCTATATACTATTTTTTTCTCCAACTGGCGCACACCCTTTATTTCTAAGCATACCTCGATTGTCGAACGATACTTCGTCGAGAAAAACCAGGGAATGAATATCCCAGGTCACAATAGCCATATCTGAAACGAACCTTTGGCTATTCTGAGCTGCGCGTTACCACTGTCGCTGGATGAGAATTTATTTTAAGCGCGACAATAGCAGTTTCTACTGCACAATTCCTTTCCGTGTAGCGTTTACCCTAACAGCAGTTGACCTTTAACTTGTTGACCTAATCCACTAAACCTGTCACTCGTTTTCGGCGCGGCGGGCTACAATTTGTTTACAAACAATCCGAAACCGGCACCCATCAGTAACTGTTGATTTGCATAGTGATTATTTTCTGGATTTTCGGGATAAGAGTGAAAATAAACTTTATGCTATTTTGCGGTTGAAAATCTCGAAATCGCACCTCAACGATGACCCAAACCGAAACAAACCGTGCAGTGCACGTGAAGACGCGTTTACTTCGTGATTACAGCATCAAAGTGGTCGACGAATGGCTCACCGGGTGTGTATCGTTCTGCTTGCAGGAGAACTCGAAAACTACCAACGATTCCCTGTTGAAGTTCACCTTCGATCAGTGGATTCTGGCCGATCTGAAGGAGATTGGTGTATCATGCCTGCCGGCGATAGTGGACACGGAAACCAAGTGCTTTACGTTGAACGGGAACTTTCCTCTGCAGCTGAATTATCTGATGGACATTTCGGAACCATGCTATGATCAGTTGAGGAATTTGTATAACAAAAAGTTAGACGAAGCAGACGACGAGATTCAAATGCGAAAGAATCAAACTCAGAACGTGAAGAAACGAAGAATGTTGAAGCTGGAAATGACGGACGGAAAGCGAACGGTAATCGGCATGGAGCATAGTCCGATCGCGGCTTTGAATACGAAGCTTCCACCGGGAGTAAAGGTTCTGCTTACTGGACCCATTCGGTGCATAAATAAGGTGCTGTTTCTGGAACCGAAGAATGTGAAAATTCTGGGAGGGGAGGTGGACACGCTGCTCATAACCAATGCCTTTGAGAATATGCTACTGAAGGAACTGGGGCAGCCGTTGAATCCCAGTCCCAAAACCGAGTACGAGGAGGTGGTGGTGTCAGAGAAAAACAACAGAAATACTGGCTACAATAATATACCGTCGGTTCCGATGGTGTTTCCGTCTCCGGCGAAACCGATGTCGAGTAGATCGAGCAATAATCAGTACGACGATTGGGAAGATGATATGTTTTTGGGAATCAATCTGGACGGTATTGAATCCAATGGCCATTTGAACAGGAATAATAAGGTGACTTTGTTTTGAAAAGTTATTTTTGACTTAATAGCATGACTAATATTTCAGGATAAACCACCGGAACAAGTTCCTACCGTCAGTACCTTGATGGACGACGACGATGACCTAGAGATCATCGAACTATCGGAAGAAGAAATTATGAATCATCAGGTTTCCTCTACAAAAACATCCCAACCGTCACCACCTCAGAGGCGTTCGAAACGTCCAACCTACCGATTGCCCTCCTTTGAAGAACCAGACGATGACATCGATGCCTTAAACTCCCTAGAGGATGAAATCCGTAACGAGCAGCAAAATCGCCCTGGCCCGATAATAGATTACGACGAACCGGAACTGATTTCTTCCTCTCCAGTTGCACCGGTCCAGCAAGCCAAACGAGTAAGGATCAATGAGCCAGCTGGTAGATCGTCAAATGCTTCTAATTTCGTGAACGATGGCCAACAACCATCCACCAGCAAAAACTTCGACAACTGCTCCCTCTCGGCACTGTTCGAAGACGACAGTCTGGACGACGTGTTCGATGTGGAAGAAAAGCAACCGAGCTCTTCGGAGAAAGATAATGTCCTCTCGCCGCGGTATCAGTTCCAGATCGAAGGATACAGCTTGGTGACGGTGGATCAGATCAGTAAGCTCAGTGACGGGGACCGGGATGAGCGGACTTTTGTGGTGTTCGGTGAGGTTGAGGAAGTTTTCGAACGGATTAGGATTTCCGACGATGGATGGAAGCTGGGCGTCATGGTGACGGACCGGTCGGAACGGGTTTTGCCGGTGAGTAGTGCGTATGATGGGTACTGAGTAAAAGTTGCTTTTGCTGAGATTCCTTTGAAAATTGTCCCTATATCGAACTGCTTTGACGTCGATGTCGGTGTTAATCAATACGATCCTAAAACAACATTTGGCAGATCTTCCAATCAAGGCCAGTATTAAAAGTCAATCCGAGTTGAAGCTTACCGCCATTAGAGCAATTGCTACTGAAATCTTGTTGGAATTAATTCAGAATTATTGCGTCTGAAATTCTTTTGCTAAATGCTTCTAAAATCTTTGGTTTATTTTTTTGTATTACTTAGGATATCAATTTCCTCAAAAATACCTTGAAACAATCCAAATGATTCCACTCCGAAAATCCGTAGGAAAGTTCAAAAGAATCTCCATAATTGTTGTATCTTCCCATGGCAATTCTCATCACCTCAATTGATAGACATTGATGAATTAACAAAACCAACCAATCAATTCACTTTGTTTTACAGGTCCGCTTTCACACGGCTGTCATCAGCAAAATGGTTGGACACGAGGCTAGCGAAATTCAGCAAATGAAGCGCGCCAAGAATCCCCAAGTGATGAAATTGCTTGAAGAGGTAAAAACATAAATCTTGATTCAAAAAGAACCATTCTGCTAAACGTTCATCTTTCGATATTCAGATTTTAATCAAATTCAAAAATCAACTGCAAGATCTGCGAACGTTCATGCGAGTTCGGTACCACCAAGGCAACGACTTCCCCACCATAATGGAACTATACGAGTGCACTCGGTCTCGATTGACCGTACTGACCAATAAGATCAACCAGGAAAATCTCAAACACTTGCTCGAAATTCTCCCTCAAGATTGTGATCCCAGACCAGGTAGGTGATTGGGTAGTGTTCTTTCAGTTCTAAGAAAATCAAACAGTAGGTTTCATGTCTGTTAAAATATACGCTTATAAAATGTATTATCGTTTTTTTACAATATTCGCTGATCTCGTCTACTACATCACAATGTTCATACTTAAAAAAACAAATGCTAAAAATATGCGATTCTCAAAACATCCAGTCTATCTAAATAGTGTAAACAATCAATAACTTAAACACAAACCTAAAAAATAACGTCACAGGTACATGCCAATCGCTTACGACTTAAACATGATTAACTTCAACTGCTCGTACGATATCCACATGACTACGTTCCACGAAACGAGCCGGGCAAACGATGGCACAAAACCTTTGTAAAATGCAGCGGCTCCCTCCTTGCGACCCATCTTGATGGCACAGTCGACCGCGCCCCGGTACTGGCCCTTCGGTGAGTTCATGTACCGGGTTTTGACCACGTCGACTGGGGATGCGACCACGGTAGCGGCAAATCCGGCCACCACCGCCGAGCTAAAGTGTAACCGGATGTCATTGGGAATGTGGGCGTACTGCTGGAGCAGGTCCTTGACCACATCGTAGCAGACGATTTCCGCCACGTTGATGATGGCGTTGCGGCCAATGTTCGGCATAGCGCCCTTCCACAGACCCCGAACGCCTTCCTCCCGGTGAATCGTCCGGTATGCTTGCAGGGTAGAAGAATACCGACGATTGCTATTCGAACGGGACGCCGCCTGGAAGCGCACCTTGACCACATCGGTTGGATGAGCTAGAGCTACCGCTAAGCCACCAGTGGTCAAACCGGCGCTGATTCGTGTGAAAATTTGAAGGCCAGCTTCGTTTTCTGTACGGGGAAAAATTATTGAAATTATACGAACTGATTCGCTTTTGAAGCAACGCCAACAACTCACCTTTAAAGATGGTTCCATAGAAATCCTTAACCGTATCGTACAGTCCCAAACGGATCGACGAGAAGCACATTTGTCGTTGCAGCCCGGCCGAGAGGCCACTGTATAGCGTAAGGAAGCCCTCCTGCCGGGTGATGGTTGTGATGGTTCCGACCAGACCACGGTACTGGACATGCTGTGAGCCGGGGATGGCCGGAATGGCGGATGGATTCAATTTGAAAGCCTGGATGGCACTGTTGCCTCTGCTGCCGGTTGCCTGTGCCAGAGCCGCCGTACGGACCGGTTGTTCACCCTGGACCTGGAGGAATAAGGAAGACGAGTGGTAGCGGGTCAGTACATGTTGGATTGTTGGTGACGGAAAATAGAAACAGAGGGTAGGTAATGGGGAAAAAGTATTTTGAAAATGTAATGACCAGGGTCCTACATAACATATGTGGAACTACGAACTAGATGCTTCTCAAAAAGTGAAGTCATTACACTCTCTTTACTCTGTTATAAGTGGAATAACCTTTCTCTGGAGTTACCTCTATGGAATAACTGCACATCGAAGCGTAAAATTTGAAATAAAACAATAATTGAACTAAAATCAAATTCCATGAGCTGAAATTTGATAACAGTTTGGTTATCTGAAGAAGATTCTGTCAGGCGCGAGGCCAGGTCTGTTTCAGGGAAATTTGGTCCAGTCGAAATATAAAAACCAACCAAACCAACAAAAACCAATTTAATTAGGATATTTCTGTCTTGCTTCGTTGTAGTAAGTTGAGTCTTCATCTTCTTCGCATTTCAAGCTTATTGCCTATCGCATATTAGCTTATTGCGTGTTCTCAACTTATAGCGAATTTGTTTATTATCCAGGTTGGAACCAGTTCCAACCTGTGCGAACCGGAGCTTATTGTCAGTGCGAACCTCAATCCGAGCCAGGTTACAAAAACAAACGTTAACACTGACGTTTGAAAGGCAACAAGCAGACCCAATCTTGATACCAGTTCCACCAGAGGTTGGAACTGAATCAAAGCCGGTGCAGGTGTTATAGTGGTAAGCGTGACTGCTTTCTCGCCCCAATTGGTCTGGGTTCAATCTAGTCGAGGTCGGTGGGATTTTTCTGAGGCATAAAAATCTATAGTCACGTCTTCCTTGGGAAGGGAAGTAAAGCCGGCCCATGTGTGTTTGAATTGATCAGTTCACGAAGATTTGCCGCACTCTTCTCTCACCCGTAAGTTTTGACAGTTTTGGGTGGTTTGTTTTGGCTCCCATTCGTTGCTATCTCTTTTACTCAGAAGCAAAATGATAGGGAGCATAAAGTGAGGTTAGGGACCGTGCACTGATCTATGGGTGCGATATCTTACGCAGGTTTGGAAGCTGCCTTCCTGCACATTCGATTGCCGTCAATGGATGGGAATCGATGTCCGTCGGTGATTGGCACTAGATTGAGGAACAGAGACCGACGTTAAATAAAGGAAAGAAGAAGAAGAAGAGAACTGAATCAAAAACAAATTCACTATTAGAGTTCTAGATGCACTTCCACGGTTATTGATTGAGAGCTTTCGATGCCTGTACCATTTTTGCATTAGTATAATTGTGTGTACAATCATATCATCATACTCTATGCCCAGGGAAGTCGAGAAATTTTCCAATCCGAAAATCCGAACCGGGAATCAAACTCAGCCACCTCCTGCATAGTCTTGCTTTGTATCTGTGCCTTTACCGACTGATTTTAGAGAGGCCCCGGAGTAATCTAATAGCGAATTCGTTTATTATCGGGGTTGGAACCAGTTCCAACCCAGTGCGAAACCGAACTTTTTGTCAGTGCGAACCTCAACCTGAGCTAGGTTTTAAAAACAAACGAACAAACTGACGTTTGTCAGAAAACAAGCAGACCCAATCTTGATACCCGATCCAGGTTGGAACTGAATAATAAACGAATTCGCTATAACATTCATGCGTAGCTTGTTCAAAATATGTGGACTCCCTTAATGTCAAGTACTCAAGCACTGAAGAAGTCCACAAGAAACTTATGAACTATAAGTGCAGTATGATCTATGAAGTGTAGGAACTGGATCGAAGCACCAGATCACTACCGATGAAGTATAATCGACTATCAGAATAACCTAAGTGGCTGCCCATAAACTACATAGAGCAAGACATAGAGGCTGTTCATTAACTTCGTAGACAGTTAAGAGGGGGGGGTCCACGACCCATATAAATTCTATAAATTGTGTATGGACAACTGTCTATGCGGGGGGGGGGGTTAAGAATCCCAAAAAACTGTATACGTAGTCAATGAACAGCCCATAGATGATTTCAGGAGTGGTTCTAGATCTCTCAAAAACAATACATTTTTTTATTTATTTGCAAAAACTACGTGGCAAACATATGTTTAAGTACATAATAAAGTGTTGTTAAAGGGACAAACGAGTAAAAGTTTCCACTATCAAATCCGACAGATGTCGCCCCGCCAGTGGTGGATAAACCAGTTTTGTCCGGTTTTGTAGCGTTGTCAGATTGTTTTCAAGCTTATCGGTATTAAAGGTTTTAAAAAATCGGTATTTCTCGGTATTTCTTATTTTAATAAATTTCATATTTTTGCCGTTTTCAAAGGCGAAAATTTAAACTTTTGGACTAAGAACGGAAAATCTACTTCCAGCAGAAGTCAGATGGAATTTGCGGGAAATGTTTGAACTAGAAGGAAGCTGAAAAAACTTTCTGAGAAAAAATTAAAAAAAAACCCTTCTGGAAGAAGTTTGAAGAAAGTTTTTTTGAAAAGTCGGAAAAACATCCAAGGAACTAAATGTGTGGAGAAAATTCAAACGAACTTTCGGAAGTAAATGGACAACACATCCAGAGGAAGCCAGAAAGGTTACGGAAATCGGAAGAAAATACCAGAAGTATTTCCAGTGGAAACCAGAAGAAGCTCGGAAAAACCTTCCAATAGATGCCGGTTAAAACCTCCGGAGGAAGCATTTTACGTGTTGCGTTAATTACTGTTACAGTAGAGTTTGCTCGTTTTGATGACCCAAAGCTTGTCGAAACAATTTCCCTACATCTCCTGTTATGGCAAACCGGTGGAAGCTAGAATGGACGACGATGTTTGATCATTCAAAGGGAGCGGTTTTGGCTGAAAAATCGAACTCGTCCTTAAATATGGTTGTAAATCTTGTAATGTTTTAAATTGTGATTAAAAAAAAATCGGTATAAATCGGTATGACATTTCCAAAATCGGTATACTGAGGAGCTTTATCGGTTTATCGGTATCGAGCTTGGAAATCGGTAAATCTGGCAACGCTGTAATGGAGATTTTCAAAAAATCGTCGATTTTTCTTCAAAGCTTGCTTCTAGCAGTGAGAAAATGTCTTAATATTTCTCGCGCCACTTTTCAAATAGACCAATGTAACATATCCGTCAAGTGGCTAATGATTTTAAATTGGCTCACTACTTGACTAGCCTATTGGTTCCAAGTACAAGTAAGCGTCGGAATTCTAGTACTACACTATGTTTTGATTCACTATGAAAGTTTGACAGATAAAATGAGGGGTTCGTGTATTTTGCTATGTTTCTAGGGGTGCATCGATTAGTTTGGGACCGAAAAGAGTACCAGAGCTGAGCCAAAAAGTTGAGCCAGTTTATTCGGGATCTTCTGGTCTTAGAGTTACCTCTATGGTATTTCCTCTATGGTATGGTATTCCAATTTAAAATCTTTACTTCCCACCGGCTGTTATAACTCTGTAGTCTGAACAAGGCATAAGAAAAGCATCATCAAACTGCTTGGTCCCCAATGACTGTTCGTGACAGCTTGATTCTGGCTCCTTTTGACATTCATATTATTCGAGTCTGCTTCTCCCTCCCAGATTAGTAGTAGTAGCAAATTACCAAAGTAACACCATAGAGGTAACTCTAAGATCACTGGGTCCCGAAGAAAATCATTATTATTTTTGGCTCACTCAGTACCAGAACAACGGTCCCAAGCAGTCCCAAGCTATTTCACTCACCCCTGCATGTTCTGCATGAATCCACACACCCCTGATGTTATCTGTCAAACTTTCATAGCGAATCAAAACAAGCATAGTGTAGTAATAGAATTTCAACTAGAATAGGGTACGTTAATCGTTTGATTGGGACCAATAGGCTACTAAAGTGGTGAGCCAATTTAAAATCGTTAGTTTCGTATTGATTGTTGGTAACACTGCTCGATGAACATTTCAAATGGTCCTATCTGCTTTGATCGATTCTCTTCATCGACTTTCTCTTTTCATAACCACCGCTATGCAAACAGATTTTGCGCTAATTCTACCACATAGGGGAATTTACGTATTCTCGGCAACCTAAGCAGCGACCTTCTTTCTATAGCCTTTTTCTCTATGGAACGCACACATATGCAGTATTGGTTTGTTTACAATCTTTTGCTGCCAGCTGCTCTAACAATTTAAGTCGAAAGAATTGTCAAAAACTGTTTTGAAACGCTTTTACAAAGCTCCAATCTTCTCTAGTGAGAGCGAGTATTGTCGGCAACCAGTTTTTCTTCGGCAACCGTTCCATTTGAACTGCATGTAAATCTGTTGTTCTATTATCGGCAACTCGAAATCTAGTTTGATAAAGGAGGTTCTTATCTAGCGTCCAAAACGTCAAATACAACAGGGAAAGGTTTTGCAGCTGAGTTATGACGAAAGAGAAAGTCAATGAAGAGAATCGATCAATGCAGATAGGACCTTTTGAAATGTTAAGAGGGGGTGCAGTTGCATGTTTTATTGTGGTTTTAAAGCAATCTACATGTCTAAATAGTGGTCTTCAGATCCCTCATAAAACCTAAATTGTTACTTGGGTAGGTTTTGTGTTAATTAAATAATTAGTAATAAATCATCATCGAAAACCCAGATCCAAATTGTGTCCCCACGCAAGTTGAAAGTGAATTAATCCACATTCCAGTTGCAAGTTGTGACTGTGAAGAAGTGACTCCTAGCGACGGTAAGGCCATACCAAGTTCTCTAAGAGGCAAGTTCTGTGCAAGAAATCAAACTGAACATTGCATTAGGTCCTAAAGACATTCCCTGGTATTTTCAGCACACAGATCGATAAAATAAGCTTTTAGCCAGCATATAATGCGACAAACACAACAAGAAACGGTTATGTGCTCAAGTTATTACCGAAAGAGAAAGTCGACGAAGAGAATCGATCAATGTTACTTAGGAGCTAATGCAATGTTCAGCTTGAACAACTGATGCGTGTTAGTCGATGCTCACATCATTGCTCAGCATAGTAAGAGTTAGAGCACCGACAAACCGACGCGCCAGCTCATTCAAGCTA